GTTTTTATAAGTTCAAAAACACTGTTATGATCCTAAATCACTGAAGCTCGTTTACTTGCTAATGCTTGCCCAGAGCAATGAAAGCAGACCATAAGCACCTTGCCCGGCATGTTGTTCTCCCATCAGTTTACAGTCACAGAAGAGCAGCTTATTCACAGAAATAAGGTGCTGACCTCTCAGCTTTCCTGCTTTCATTCATTGTAAACATGAGACGGACACGCCCTCAGAGACACAGACGACTACACTTCTCTGTGAGACTGGAATAAGCACACCTTACTGCAACAATAGTCGACTGCAGCAACAAGATGGCTGTAATGTGAAGGCTGATTGCACATATTAATTGACGAGTGAGTAGCTCTATGAAAGCACTGTCGGAGATTAAAGGGGGAGATTGCTTCATTTTGGTATGATTTAATTTATGTCTATTTTTAGGTTTGATGAGGCAAGCACTGCTTACCTTGCTTGCCCTGAAAGAACACCACTGTGTTTTCTGATTATTCACAAGTTCGTTTGAGCTTCAGGGCACAAACTGATGGTCGGATGGCTCTCCTTTAGGATTTTCTCATAGAGAGCAGAATTCATGGTTACATGGGATGATGATCTTGAATGCTGTGTTCAAACCACTTAAACCAGCCAAAAAAAGTTCAAATTTTGTCAGTCCACAGAATATTTTCCCAAAAGTTTTGATAATCTTAGAGATGTTTTTTTTTTTCTTTTTCACAAATGTGAGACGAGCTTTTGTGTTCCTTTTGGCCAGCAGTGGTGTTTGCCTTTGAATTCTCTCATGAATGTCATTCTCCACCCCCCCCCGAGTTTCTTTCTTATTGTTGAACCCTGACCTTAACTATGGCAAGTGAGGTTTTTTTCCTGGATGAGCTTTGTAAAACTTTCCAGACTGACAGATGCCAATGACTTTAAATTGCGGCATGATGTGTTGCTCTTTGAGATCTCTTAGCTACCTTTACTTTGTCAGACAGGTTTATTTAAGTGATTTCTTGATTCAACAGGTCTGGCAGTAATCAAACCTGGGTGTGTTTAGTGAAACTGAATTTATTTGCTTTCCAAAAAATTGTGGTTAATCACAGTTAATTTATAATTTAACAAGGGGCCAATTACTTTTTCACACAAGGCCAGGATAAGTTTGGATAGCTTTTTTCCCCTTAACAAATCATCATTTAAAAACTGCATTTTGGATTTTCTCAGATTATCTTTGTCAAATGTTAACGTTTGTTTGATGAAACTGAAACAAGTTTGACAAATGCAAAAACAAATCTCAGAACTCACAAAGGAGGTAAATACTTTTTCATGGCACTCTAATAAGCTAGAAGTGATAACTAAACAGCTGGGAATGCTAATAGAAAAAAACAGCTGGATATACTGCATCCAGTTTATGATTCTTAGCATATTCCCTTTAAGTAAAGGCTAGCTCATCAATAAACTCTATTAAAGCTCACACCCACTACACTAGAGAGCAAATGTAATTACAGAAAACATGGCTTTTTGCACTTAGAAGAACACATTGTGGATCTATGAAAGACAATGTGCTCCTGAAACTTCATTCAGTCACCTTTTTCTTCTAGCTTAGTATAGTGTGATGTGTGCTGTAGTGAAAATTCAGTGATCGGTTAGATTTCTTGCAGCATCTTAAAGGAAATCATTCCTTTATGCGTGCCCATGCACGCCATGCTTCAAGACATACACTCTTACTAAAGTCAAAACTATAAGAATTTTAAATGCTGAGACTGCAGAAAGGGTGAGACAGTCGCAGCACTCAGCTGTAAAACAGTCTGGCACAACACTAACAAAGGAAATGAGCAAACCACATAGCAAATAACAGACTTTTATTCAACACTCTAAGCCCAACTGCTTATATCTGAGTGCCAATCCCAGTCACTTGCAAATAAACAGATTTATGAGAAATAGTACACACAAATTGCTACATTTGTCTAGACAGGACATTATTCTAGCTTTACTTATACTGGCAAGATTAAGCTGGAGTTTTATGAATATGTATATTAGTATATGTCAAATCTTGACAGTCTCCAAATTTGCACTTAAGAGTGAATTAGGTGACTCAGCAAATAAACTACATTTCTAACAGAAGAAGAAAAAGACAAATTTTGCCTCCTACAAAGAAAAGCCGAATGTGAAAATAGCTGAAATTCAGTATTTATATGGAATAACTCGTTCCTTGCAAAAATATTTAAATATTACATAAAATTTTCTTTATATGGCCATTTAATCATCCATCTTCTTCTGTTTATCTAATCCAGGGTTACAAGAGGTCTTGGAACCTATCTGTGCTACCATAAGGCAAAAGGCAGGGTCTACGGTGCAAGTCTCTTGCAGGGTTAAAACAGAGGGAAATCCATTTGTGCTCATTCACACCTATGGAAAGAGTTAGAATGACCAATTACCCTAACGCATGCATGTCTGTAGGAGGAAACTGGAGTACCTGGAGAGAACTAATGGTAACATACTGTAGGGAGAACATACAAACTCCACACAGAAAGTCTCCAGCCAGCTAGTGGATTCAAACCCAGGCTCTTCTTGCTGTAATGTGACAGTGCTAACCACTATGCCACTTTACCAAAAAGCACTGTATTGCTGTTGTCACTATACTGCTCCCAAGTACTACATCCATCCATCCAATTTCTTCCACTTATCCAATTCAAGTCCACAGACGGGCTGGAACCTACCCCAGCTGTCATAGGGTGTGAGGCAGAGTACAGGCTGGCTGAAGAGGTCACCAGTCTGTCACAGAGCTAACAGGAAGAGGCAGACAATCATTCACATTCATATGTACAGGCAATTTAGATCCACCACCCATTCTTTTACTATAACTACTGTCGATCAGTAACTGCAACATGGATTATCTTTAAAATCTAAAACTTCATGTCCATGCCAAAAACCGAAATAACACAAGCTTAAATACAGTCTTGAATGGAAAGTGTAAAGTAAATACAGTCTCTTTCAGGAGATTTTTAGTGATAACAAGCGCTCTGAGTTAACACATTGATTTTCTTTTTACACAACAAATTGCGTAATCAGGAGGAAAAGCAAAGCTATTATGTATCTTAGCCTCCAGTAATTACACCGATGTACTTTAATATAAACACACTGCATCAGCTGTTTTTTTATTTGTTTGTTTGTTTTGGACACAGACTGTACTGACAATCACTCACACACACACAGTTACAACACAATACCAAAATATAATCATTAGAACAACAGACAGAAGTTCTGGCACGAATTGTAGTTTTGATTAGTGCCAACACGCAGCCATCATCTGTCAGTATTCACTGGGATGTAAACATCAAAACATTTCCTTATTCATCACATTGCTACCAGGTAGAGGGAGTGTAGAAAAACTGCACTGCACAGCTCAGATATTGCACAGTCTCTGAGCACAAGTCTCCACAAAGACATTGAAAACCATCCAACACATCCCACACAGCATAAATCAGCCCATTGTTAGGAACATGGGTTGCATTCATGGCAGAAAACTCGGAAATAAGTTGAATGTACGCATTTTGAAAATGCACTGGCATATAAATATTCTTATAGCTCACCTAGCTCACCAGATCAGGAGGTACCTTTCACCTCCTTAGTGAGGAGGAACAAAACTAGTATCTTCCTTCAGACTAAATATTTCTTATCGTTTCACAGAAAACACTACACATTTAAAACGATAAACTGTATAGTTTAATTTGTTGATTGTGCAGTAGGCTGGTGATAGAGAAGTAAAATGTTATCCAGATGTTCACTAGAGTCGGTAATGTCAGTAGCATGTGGCGCACTCAACTGCACTGCCAGTGATTTAGCTACATTACTAAATGCCATCTTTGGTTATGCTGCATATTCGCATATGTGGGGAGCTGTCACTGTGTCAGCTGCTTCTTGTTTGGGAATCCTTCATCTATTGTGGGAATATTTTCATCACAAACACAGCATGAATAAAAACGTTTATCCATTATTATTATCTGATAAATGTTGATAAATGTTATTTTAAATTTGAAATGAATGGGCAATCTTTCAGAAAACCTTCAGTAAATAATCCCCAAAACTCGCTCTGATTTGATAAACTAAGAGTTTCCATCAGCTGTGGGGCTAAAGAGTCGTCTCTCTCTCTCTTGTTGCAGCACGTCTCAGAGGTTAATTACAGAAATAACTGTTCGGGTCTCTGTAATGAACTGCTCAATGGACAGGCTTTTATCTATTAACAAAGAATCATTGCTTGCATTATTTATTGATAAATATAACGAGTTTATTAAATAATTAATGATGCATACTCCCTATTTTGTCTCTCTATGTTTAAATGCTTTTTCCTTGTTTTTCACTATCCTATACATTTTGCTTCAACTCCTTGATTTTCCTCACCTTTACCTCTGTGTATTTCTGTCGTTTGATCTCCTCCCTTGTATTTGCAGTCAGATTTTCCCATTTTTGTTGCAGTCTGAAACTGTACAATTGACCTGTGGGATGGCAGCATTTATGGTTTGGACTGTCGTTTCCCAGACTTGTCTCTTATCTTCTATGGATACTCCAGTGACATATTTTCCTCTGACTGTGTTTCTCTTCTCCTGCATTCTGCTGGACATCACTTCAAGAGCCTTTAGAGGCAATTATCTAAGAGATACACACAGAATGATTATCTGTGATGAATTATCTGTTATATCTGTGCTCCCTAAAACATGCCTAAAACAAAGCTGAAATTTGGCACATACAAGTAAAGGCTTCAAGTTAATGCTTTCAGACTCAAGGTTTCAGTTAAAATATTAATATAGGACTATATATTTTAAAATTAAAGATATTTTAAGATTTTCCCTACAAGAGTTGATTCTAAGCGACCAGTCTTTAAATATACGATCGGACTGTAGCAGAATTCAATTATTATGATGTGAATATTAGTTATAATAAATAAATACTGATGAAATCTTTACGTAACGCTTTCGTACCCGTATTACAAGAGAAATCCAGCGCGTCCCACGAAGATGACGTCCTCACCGGGTGACGTGTCAGTTTGTTTACAGCGGTGAGCAGTCGGCTGCAGCTGCTCAGACATGGCTGTTGATATCACGTTACTTTTCAAAGCCAGCGTTAAGACGGTCAAAACCAGGAACAAGGCCATAGGGATTGGCTTCGACTCGACCAAAGATGAAATTTTCAAGAGAAGCAGACCGAAGAGTGGCTTCTCACCGAGGGCGAAAGAAGTGGTGAGTGTTCATCCAGACTAGCGTTAGCTAACTCTGCTAGCACAGTGGCCAAAGTGCTTTACGTTTAATAGCAGCTTCAAAACTTACTACTACTTTGTATGAGCAACAGCAGCCAGTGAAATACAGAGCATATACGATGCTTACCACTTATATTTCCTTTGGTGTGTTGGCACTGTTCGTGGTTAGACGGGCCTGTCAACATTTGCAGACTATAACTTTGCTAAATGCAGCATGAACTTAAATTGGATTAGATTTTTTTAAATTTATATTGAATATATACAAATTATATTCAAAATTTGTCATAGAATACATAATATTATGATACGTTGAGATTTGAAATATAAAGGTTGTGATTTTTGACTAATACGATAAGTGGCCAGTTAATCGTTTGTTGAAGGCTTTGAAGATCTGTACTGAGAGTAGGGAGCAGGTGAAATAGAGCCTGGAGATGTGCAGGTATGCTTTGAGAGAAGATGAAAGTCAGTAGAAGAAAGACAGAATACATTTGTGTGAATGAGAGGGACACAGGTGTAACAGTGAAGCTGCAAGGAGCAGAGGTACTGAAGTTTGAGTAGTTTAGATATCTGGGGTCAACCATCCAAAGCAACGGATAATGCATAAGAGGTGTGAAAAAGAGTTTGCAGACAGGGTGAAGAAGGTTGAGGCAATGTCAGGGGTGATTTGTGAGAGAAGGATAGCACCAAGAGGGAAAGAGAAGGTTTGCAAGACTAGACCTACTATGATGTATGGCTTGGACGTGGTGGCACTGACAAAAACGACCGGAGGCTGAACTGAAGATGTTAAGATCTTCACTGGGAGTCACCAGGATGGACGAAATTAGAAACAAACACATCAGAGGGGCAGCTCGGGTTGAGCAGCGTGGAGGCAAAGTTAAATAGGCAAGGATGAGATGGCTTGGGTATATGCACAGTCGGAAGAGAAAATACACTAGGCAAAGGATGCTGAACGTGGAGGTGCCAGGCAGGAGGAAGAGAGGAATACCTAAGAGGAGACTCATGGATGTAGTGAAGGAGCACATGCAGAGGG